ATAGACAAGCTAAATTGATAGATAAAGACAAGAAGAATACAATAAATGTTTCCGTGATTACGTTAATTGTAACAAAATACTGCACTGCCCTGCTATTCATCGCTAACTTAACAGCCTAGGCCCAGTTGAGTCATAGCGAACGTCGTGGGCCGGCATGACACGGTTGCTCTGTACTCATGCAAAGGTTAAAGTTGAAATCGTGACCATTCAAGTGTTTAAGTATGAGAGAATGGTCTGGGGCAGAAAGATTATTACAAATTTATGAAACCTGATTTATGTTTTATTTCTTTACTTTGTTTTCATTTTGTATTTTAAGTTTTTCACTTTTAATTATAATTGATATATAATGTGTGTAAATGGATAAAAAATAAATAAATGAGTGCACATGAATCAGTGCCATACACATTCGTCTTGGTAATCGTCAAACATGTGAAATTACGGCAAACAATGCGGCTGGGTACATTCGGATAGACGCTTTGTCGCCGGGATTTGTTCATTATTATTTTTTTAATATAAAACAAAACATGTCAACTATTGAATTTATTTAGGCCTACAGTAAGTCTCATCTTTATCTGTTTTGTTGCATTCCTCAAATTATGGCCTAGGCCTACCTGGGCCTAGCCTAAAAAAATCGCGTCAGCTAGCCTTGGTCCTAGGCCTGCTCGACTTAGGCCTTTTGTGATTGGTCCAAAATTATGGAATGAACTCCCCTATGATATTTGCCAGGCCCCCAGTGTGCAATCTTTTAAAAAACTTTTAAAAACACATCTTTTTCCTAGAGAGTAGTTTTTTAATGGTTTTTACCTATACTTGACTGATTCATAATTTTATTACACACTTGTGTTTTATTGTTGCTATGTTTTTATCGTTGACTAGCTTTTTGTAGGAAATTTTATTGAATTCCAGGTTTGTAATTTGTACTTGCCATTTCTATTAATTGATTTTTATTGTACTTAGGTCTACTTATATATTTGTAAAAATGGGTTTTAATGTACTACACTTTGATCTTTGGAATTTTTATTGAATTTGTACTTGCCATTTTTTATTGATAGATTTAAAATATTGTACTTATTTTTATCTTTGTAATAATGGGTTTTGATGTACAGTGCTTTGATCTTTTTCGTAAAGGTGCTATATAAATGCTTTTTAATAATAATGAAATAATAAGTTCAAAATTTGGTATTTTTAAATTCTGCATTACACAAGAACTGTATGATGAGATTTGATGAAGTATTAATGAAGCTATGAAGATTTAATTCACTGGATATCAAACAAGTAGTTTAATATTAAGGTGTATATATGAAATTTATTTTTAATATACTTTTCAGCTGGATTTAGTATATTTTGCAGAACTGTTCTTCAATATTGTCTTTTTCATAGACTGCAAGTACCTGAAATTCGTTGAGATCACGATTCTTGAGGATTTGGCTGCTATCATGAAATTTGACAGACGTACAAATGTTGGGTTTTGCTATCTAATATTTTAGTTCATTTTCAATAATTTAAAAAACAGCTTACTTTATCCAGCTGCTCTCTGGTGTGTGAGGACGAAAGACAGATCCGGCATCTTGCTTCAATAATGGGCGTGGCCGGGAACCCGACAACTACAACTGCTATGCCACGTGCTCTACACTCACGTGCTAGTGCCCTAGTTAGGTTAGATATGAAAAGTTGTGACAAATCAAAAATTGTTCAGTATTTATAACATATTTCATAAACCGAAAGGTCCACTGATTATTCTCAGATAAGATAGTATAATACATACTCCAAGTATCGAAATGCACGCCATCGTGTCGGGATTCAATATTTCGACATAATTATGTCATCGTCAGGCCTGATGACGACATAATTAATGTTGAAATATTGAATCCCGACACGATGGCGTGCATTTCGATACTTGGAGTATGTATTAAACTATCATATTTTATAAATACATGTATGAAAAGTAATGATGATGATGATCAATTACTACCTGACGGTGGTGATGACAATGATCAATGAAGATGATGATAATATAAGAATATTATGAAGACAATGACAATGATGAAAATGGTGATAATGACAATAGTGTTGTTGATGATGCTGCTTTTAATAACAATAATCCCAACAATATAATCAATATGATATTTATGAAAATATATGAAAAATATTGCACATAACGTAGCAAATAATATCATACAACAGTATAAACAAAGAAACCAAATACAGTTACAAAACAAAATAACTAGTATTACTGCTGCACTTACGCAAGCTTGCCTGGCATGTACACCATGAATGGGATGACAGGTGAGTCCTTGTTTCCATAAACAATAAAACCCAATTCGTTCAGCCTCCTTCGAAAATACAGTGTATTTTCAGCAAGTTTCTTAATTCTTATCATCCCTGAAAGGCAAAACAACAAGCTATCTCAGGTACCAGCTGGTTTTGACAACTCACGACTCTTGACATTGAAAATTTATTCTAATGAAAATTGGATCCAAAATTGTGCAATATAAGGCCATTCTGCTTTGTTTTGGGATTTGAAGTGAAAATATTGAATGTTTATGCAATAATATACATTAATCTAATTTTGTTTTTATACTGAACTATATTTCATAAAGATGGCCTTCAAAATAATCAGAATCAGAATAATTGGAAACTGCATTATCTTGTCAATCTCATTAAAAGTTTAATTTACAATTTTCTTCAGATTCCTGTAACCTGCATTGAGTATATTTTTTTCAACTATACTTTATACTCATATGCTGACTCAAAGAAGACATGAAATATAATTATATCATAAAATAATTGTATCTATTTTGCCAATCTTGTTTAAAGTGTAATTGTAGTGTATTCCTAATTTAGGTAACTGCCACTCAGATGATGAACACCCCATTTTATATCATCATGAACTCATCTTAGACATGCCCATTTTTACTACCATTCATATTTAATTATACAAGCTACACACCTGACTTGCCCATGATACAAGACATACTAGAAATCACCTGCTGAACTACAGGTGGCGGCATTGATGTTGCATAGGTGGTACTGTGAGAACATGTCCTCAAATGGTCTATCAATTTCTACAAAGAATAGATAAATATAATAAAAATAATAATATTGTTCATTATATTTTTGTAACAGAATATTATATAACCAATTGACAACATAACAGAAGAAATTAAATTTTTTTTAAAAATAGGACACACGAACGACATGAGAACACAAGCAAATGAAGAAACTATGGACAAAACATGAAAGACCAAAGCAAACAAAAAAAAAAACAAATGCTAAACTGAAGGTGAAAAAAAAAGAACATTCAGTCTGATGAGAGTTATACAAGTTGGAGCAAAAGGATGGAGAAAACTTTCCAATTTATTATGATACGATACATTCTTTATTGTCACAATAAACTTTCATTCATTTGAGATATGTTGTTGATTTTATTTGAATAGTAGGCCTATCTTGAAATAAAGCAAAAACATGTTCATATCAAGGCTGCCATTGGATTTTAGTGATAAAATTGGTAATTCAAACAGATTTGGTAGACCACTTGCCAAGTTCACTCCCTTGTTTTCTGCAAATCAGCAAACTATATAAATACGGTGCACACATGATGTCAAGATGTCATAAGAATTTATGGAACATTCATCTTACCTTAGTACCAGCAATGTACCCGCCTGAGGCGCCAAAACTCTTAGTGAAAGTTCCCATCATTATATCTACATCTTTTGGATCTAGGCCAAAATAGTCTACCACTCCACGTCCATGAGGTCCAATTGCCCCTATGCTGTGGGCTTCATCCAGGTACACGTAAGCTTTGTATTTCTTCTTCAAGGCCAGCAACTCAGGTAGCCTAACAATGGAGCCTTCCATACTGATTGATAAAATACAAAAGGATAGAATATAATTGCAAGCTAAATACTACATAACTTCCTATACTATTATTTCCTTTAACAGAATCTATGCTATCATTTTTTAAACTATTATGACACCAAATGACAACAATTCAAATAAGGGCCTTTGTCTTAATTATGAATTTTGAATAAATACACCTGAATAATTTCAAAACTTTATCCAAATGTTTCTCATTATAAACAATACCAATACTTTTTAATCAATGCTTCCCTGCAATTGCTAATAACAATATTGTTTTCTATTAATGTTCACCTTAACTACATCAATGTTTTCTTATTAAAGTTTTTCATTACTCTTTTCTCATTACTAGCAGAGTACATGTTTAAATTTTTATTGGCCTTCACTAACACAATCAATGTTTTACTTGTTATTCTTTTCCTGTAGGCCATACACCATGTTTCTCAGTAATCTCAAAATTATTTTAACAGCTGACTCAATGAATTAATCATAATGTTTAATAAACAAGTCAGGTTAAAAAAAACACCCTCTGATTTCTTCCTGATGCATAATCACCATATTAATTATTACATATTGTTTTTAACATAAATTATTAACTATTATTTATAGAATCAATGCTTCAGACATCTACATAATCAACAAGGCTTGTTTCAAATGCCTGCAAATGTTGATAGCTTAAATGTTAATCTAAAAATACCCCTCATTAATCCCCCACAATAACAATTTATATACCCAAATTAATATACCTTAATTCTGGTGTATACCCCCCAACCCCTCCCCCCCTTGTACGCAAAATTAGGAAAATCTTGGGGTCGGGGGTGAGCTTATACCCAGGAAGTCCCCTTTTGAATCACAATTTTCAGCACTACATACCTAATTTAATGCCAATTTTTTTTTTTTTTTTTGGCATTTGTAAAAGTCATCTAAGCTACTCATTCAAATTATACCCTGGGCTTTTTCCCAAGGAAAGGCTAGTATGTAAAATTGGGCATAAAGTAGGGGGTGGGCCCAAGCAACTATGTTACTAATAAATGTCTTTTTGAGAGTTTTCAATCAATATGTGGGTTAATTTCTGGGTTACCTGTAGATGCCTTCAACGACGATGAGGATTTTTTTCCATGGACGGAAGTGCTTAGGTTGTCCCTTGACGACTGCTTGGCGAAGCTTCTTCTCAAGGTCTTTCATATCTGCAATACAACAATAATTATAATTATTTAATGCAGTAATCAATGAATACACATAATATTGTTTTATAATCTAACTGTAGACTGTAAGGAGAGGGATGAAAGCTGGGAATAAGGCCTGGAAAGAAAATTGTGCATTCCACCATGAAATAAAATGACTTCAGCACCAAATGTTATCTCTATGCTATATAGCCAACAGTGGTTGCCTAGAGTAAATTAAACAGAAGTTTATTTTTTCCCCTCTCCCTCCTTAAAATGCCTCTGACCACTGTTTGTTTGTGCAGTTGTGTGATTTTGGAAGCCCTGCTGGGGCCTTAAAGAAAGCTATGAGAGATACTCTCAAGTCTTTTGATTTTTTTTGATTTTTTTATCACAAATGCATATTATTGCAGCTGTTCCTTAAATCTGGAATTTACTGCCCTAAAAAATCAGGTCTGCAGAAAATGTTACCATGTCGAATCCAGACTAAATAAACACCTGTTTGCTATGCATTTCCCCTAGTAATTTTGTAATGCTCTGTTCTTTTTCTTTCTTATTTTTTTTTCTTTTCTGTTTGATTTAACCAGTATGTCTTGCTGGTTCTGGTACCATGAGCCAGAACCAACCCAGATGAAAACAAAATAATCATTACTATCAATATTATTATTACAGCAAGGAAGCTGACAACTAAACTCTGCTGTTGGCATAATAATCAGAGTTCACTTTTCAAGAGTCGATTGTTTAGATTTTTGCATCAAATTTGACCATGATGAGAGTTTTGTTAAGCGACCTTCTTTCTTTCAGCTGAAATAAGCTGTAGTTGATAGCTAAAGCTATGAAAAGAATTGATTATGAAAAGCTAATTATTACTATAACAATGTTTGACATTGAGTAAAGTAGGGAGAAGAGGGAAGGAAATATAAAATGATGAGGAAGGGTATAACTTTTTCCACCAATTCTAATACAATTATGCAATAACAGACATAGGTTTGAAGACAAGAGGACACTGTAACTGAAAAAATGCATTACATTTTAAGTCATTATAGGAAAATGAGGAGGAAGGTAAAGGGGGATAAGGCAGAGGGATGGGTAAGAGGAGAAAAGAGAAAGACTGATATAGATCATTGTTTAAGAATAAATAAAGTTCAGAGCTTTTTTTCTGCATTAAGCAATGTACTGTGCTACTGTTACTATAATCCATTATTTTGTTTACCGTATATTCCGGTGTATAAGCCGCAAATTTTATACACGATTTCCCCCCCGAAGTTTGGGGTGCGGCCTATACACTGGTCATTAACCTACTCCCAAAAAGTTCAGATCGTGATTTGCGGCGAAAATCAGGCACTGTCTGTCTAGGTTAGGCCCATGCTAGCCCAATTAATTAGCCTAGGGTAGGACCAGTTTGTAGGCCTAGTATTTGTAATTATTCTCACTTCAGTGCTGTACTAGGATTCCTACTACATTTTCTACGACATTCAAGCAATGGTTTGGGTTGTCTAAATAATTATTTTCATAATTACATTCACTCATAAAATTTTCGAAACATGCTGTTTCTGTTTGAAACCGCTTCGCTCAAAACAATAACAAACTACTTTTCGGGAGTTTGGTTCATGATGGCTAGTACCGTTATAGAGAGAAAATTGATACCACTATAATTTTAAAACAAAAACTTGTGGTGAGAGATAGTGCATGCTTCGCACAGTGGGCTGTGAGTAGTAATGACTTAGGCCTAGAATTACCAATATTTTTAGCCTAATACCGACTGTTATTAGTCACCATAATAATAGAATGATTGTTTAAAATAGATAAATATACTCAATAAGTATTTTATTTTATTAGATTTTATTAAACTTAAACTAAACTGATGTTGACAATTTAACGTAGCACGACCGTCTAACAATGGGGATTTCTCTAGAGCGGCCTAGAGCAAGAATACGTTGCGGTAGCCAGAAGTTTACCCGCATTTTCAGTTGTTTGGATTGTTTAATAATCGGCCGAAAAAGATGATATTTCCTTACGTGAACATTTGTAAGTAATGTCAATGATTCAAAGTAATTAGAAACTTAACATTATGGCAACGGTTTGGAGCTTAAAATTAGGTGCAGCTTATACACAGGTGACACAAAAAATTGTGATATTTCGCGTCCTAATGAGGGGGGGGGCGGCTTATACACCGGAATATACAGTACTTATTACAGGTAAATTAATTATGAGTTTCACTGTGTGGTATGCATATTTATGAGGCAATTATAATGCAAACACATGTGTATTATCAATGTGATTAGCCAATATGCACAGTAGATGGAGAATTAATAATGATGAATACTTATCAAAAAACCTCAGGGTTTTAAAAAAAAACAATACAAAACATGTTGTGTTTGTATGACAAGAAGGACTTTGTGTGCATTTTGGAATCATGCTAATTAATACTACAAGGATTGATCAGTCTTTTGGGAAGCATTTGTTCAGCTTCAATCGTAGACTTGGTAATTGAGGATTTTGACTTTTTTGGTTTCTGCTCAAATACAGTTAAGCGGAATCTATTACCATTTTCAAAAAACTTCAAAAACAATAAAACAATATCTTTTTGCAACATTTTATATTATTTCATAATATTAGATAGACAAGCCATTAATTTGGTATTTAATCAATGATTCAATTTACTTTTTTTATCATCAGAATTAATCTTCTTTAATTGTTTAATTTAATTTGACCTATGTTTCCTATGGTGTTTTCTGTATTGTGTCTAGTAACAGATAGTAAGCCTGTAAATCTACAGGGTAAGCCTGTCTATGCTGCACTATGCTGCACTGAGTGCTCCCACCATTGAGTCAATTTAAATAAACTGAAGACAGCTTAACAAAACTGATTCCAATAGTAAGGATGTACATTAGCTATTAAAACCAATCACAGGATATATATATTAGAATGTTTATGTTCCAACAGGACAAAGAAGAATTAATGTTCCGGCTCATAACCATAACTGTAGTTCAATATCATAGAGCAAGAAGTCAAACTACTATAGGCCAATTGAGTTGATGATTCTCTATTACAGGAACTGATTTTGAGTATTCAATCTGTTTGGGGATCATATTTTTTTTCCCGCTTATAACATAACTTACTATTATGCTGGAAAACTCGAACAGTGGCGCCAGACAAGCGAATTCCAAGTACTAATGAGGCATGGTTCATCTGATCACTCAACACCAGACAATGCTATAACAAAAAAAAGAAAAAGTAGTTAATGTGAAGTTCTTTAAACCTTTATGTAGGAAACACAAAGACCATATTTTACTATAAACCAAGTGGTCCACTGATAATAATTTAGATAATATAAGATCATACAGACTCCCAAAAACTCAGAAAAGCCATAGTGCATTAATATTTCGTTCTTTATTTCCTAAGCTAGGCTAGAAAAGAACGAAATACTGAATTATTATGGCTACTCTTAGTCTTTTTGGAGATTTTATATCATATTTTACTATATTTACTTAATAGATTTATTAAGAGCATAATGGCTGTTATGATGTGTTTTTCTGGTCATTAGATACTAATTAAATCTCACGCAATGTACAACCATGGAGGTATTATTGAGAAGGAGATCACTCGGCAACAGTTCCCTTTGACGCACCAAACCCATGTGTTCCCTGCTTTTGCATCGCGCGCGGGCGTATTACCCTATAATTCACATTTTTTCGTTAGCAACAACTTGGCAACGACATGCATTTATACGCTTCTAGCAGAGCAGTTGTGCAATAAAGCGTTTGATTTTAACCCATTAAATATCTTTATAATGAACAGTGTTCCCCTGATTAAATTTTTTCGAACATTTGGTATGTTATTATTTGTATATTTCAGGAACGGATTCCGTAAAATATTTATGTTAAAATTACTTCTGTGTTCATTATAATTTTGTCTAAAGATTGATTAGTTCGACTATAAAGCTAAGTCAGCGTAAAACTGAAAAATACTCAGNGTTTATTATAATCCTCAATCATTTATTAATTAATATCTGTTAAAATTAGAATTAGCGAATTTTGGCCAATTTATGGAAATTGAAGTTGAAATATACTATACTTTTAAAGGTCATGTAAATGTTCCATTAAATTCAAAACTTTTTTTGGTGGAAAATATTAATATGTTTGATATTTTATGAGAGATAAATATATCAGCTTCAAAATGGAAAAGATTGCGCAGCCATAGTGATTGACTGTATGTAGTGCGCATCGAGAAAAGAAGGTGCTCTCCATTTCGCCATGTTTAATTTTTTGGTAAACAATGCCTGCTGAAAATTTGATGGTGGGGAACACATGGGACTTCAAAGGCATCGTGCAAACGTTCTTCACGTGCTGCGGCAGCTTTGATCTTGGTTCATTTGCATAGCACTGCGTGCTCGTAGATTTTTCGAGTGATCTCCTTCTCAATAATACCTCTATGGTACAACCCCCACCATTTCTTAGTGAGTACTGTATTCTTATTCTGACAGCAAAGTAGCTTCAAACGAATTATTACACAGAACAGATCACAACACATTGACTTTTGTTAATCATTAGCAACATAGACACTAGTCTATAGGCTTTTAAATGGTAAGTACACAAATACCTTTTCAGGTAACTAAGGATTTGTATTTTTGGAACTTTGTGCAACAATGCCAGGCTTAAATAGATCTAAAGTAATTCCTCCATGGATCAATCAATCAAGCTGTTTTGATCCCTGATCAGTGAAATACACATTCAATACATTTGTACTGGCCTCCCAAGAGATCAAGAAAATAAATTCTGAGAACCAGCAACATGAGAACACTTATTTAGTTTATATTCATCTTATGTACTATTATTTCATTTGCAAAAAAATGTAATAAACAAACAAAAACAAATTAACAAATAAGACAGCTGCAATATGGACCACTTTTCCAAGGAGTTGTGTATGTTTTCTCAAGAAATATACTTAAAGACAGGGTAAATATGTAAATGGGGCGGATCCAGGATTTTTCAAAATTGGGGGGGGGGAATGGTTGTGTTGTCCAAGAACAGTGTGAAAATATGGAAATCAGGGTCACATGTTTTTTTTCACTATTTATGTGACCTAATTCTAGGGTTTAATGACAACAAATCACTCTCCATATTTACCTGTACCTTATTTATAAAATGGCAACCAAGGTTATTGTGTCAAATTTATTATTTAATGCTAATTAAAAGTGACATTTTAAAACAAAATACACAAATTTTGGGGTTTTTCTTGGTTAAAAAAAAACATTTATGCTAAAAAGTTGACTCTAGATTTAGGGTCAACAGTCTTGGCAACACATAATTTGTTTTTTGCTTATAAAACTGCTGCACTCAACTGGTGGAATGTCATTTACAGTAAACACAAATTCACTAACTCTACTATTAATATGGGTAAATATTTAACCATTATTAACTAAAAATCAAATTAAAAAAAATAACAGCTAGTAGCAAACAGTAATTACAACTTGGAAATAGTTCATGTATCCTCATTAAACTATGCATGAAGTTGAGAAAGTAGAGCGTCTGGTATAGCAAATAAGAAAAAAAAAATGGAATTTGCCACTATTTTAACCTTGTACCTATAAAGATTGAAATGAAAGAACTTTACTATCAGGCTACCATTTCATTGCTCATTCAGTATACAAAAATAAACTTAAAATAAACAAATATAAAGGACTAAACCAAGGCCAAGTTGTATTAACTGTAATTAATAATAATATCTTGTCCAAGACTTTGGATTAGGGGCCAAGCTTTTGTAATGATTAACATGTTTTACAAGCCTAATTTTAGGAGTAGACAATATATACTTATATATATATATAATACTCCAGCTTCGGAGTAAAAAAACATTGATATCATGTACTGTACAACTAAATTTGAAGACAAATTACACAAAAATTAATAGGAATCTTTTTGAATGCCGAGTATTAGCTGGTATCTCTGTGAACAGATCCAATAGATTACTATGTGAGTAATTATTTGTTTTGGATGTAAATCATATAGGTTGTGGAAATAAAATTGGTACAGGGGATATATAGAGTTTATTCAAGCAACATGAACAATGAAAGGCTATTGCAAAAACTTTTAATTTTAAATATTATCATTGATCGATTTACAGCTAACTTGCGAACAACTACACATCAAACATTTTACATTATTATGCTTATGTCAAACAATTGCAGCAAATTAATTTTTTTAAACATTATTTACCAAGGAAATATGAGATATTAATTATTCAATTCAATTCAAATCTATCAAAAATTCTGTTATCAAAAAATTATAAAAGAATATAGTTACAGTATAATTAAAATATAGAATAATTTATTCCATTAATATTAATTAAGTCAATACATGATATCTAGATACTTTATATGTCAAAATTCTATTAAAATTTAGTAATCCAAAAATTATGAAATAGCTATAATAAAAATATAATAAAATAATTTATTGCATTATAGGCCTATAGTCATTAGAAAAATATACATTTATTATAATGCACAATTTATTTAAATAGGCTTATTATAAGGTGCACCATAACATACAGAAATATTACAGAAACTTAAATATGAAGGTTGAAATGAAGAAGATTAATAATATCTACTTGCTAGAAATAATAAAAAATACAATACAATATTGATACAAAATATATATTGACTGTATGTTTGGGGTTACATTCCATACAATGGTTAAGGTATACTCTTGCTGAAACTTCAACAATGTTACTGTTAGGTTATATTTATACTGGTGAACTTAAAATTAAATTCTTAAACTCTGTGTACAGAGTTGGTTAATACTGGTAGTAAATTGTGTGTGCGCTCAACCATGCGATTTTTGTGTCCCTTATTCCAGTTCATCAAGTTGCTATTTCTGTGAATTGATTGAAGATTAATAATATCTACTTGCTAGAAATAATCAAAAATGCAATACAATATTGATACAAAATATAAATTGACTGTATGTTAAGGATTACATTCCATACAGTGGTTAAAGTATATACTCTGACTGAAATTTCAACAATGCTATTCCTGTGAATTGATACAGGTTATGCATATTTTTAAAAATTTAAGTCGTTAGTTCTCTATCTTGATTAAAAAACTTGAAAAACTAACAAATCTTATACCTGATGTTCAATAGGTGTGTGTGGCTATGTAATACCCTCTATGATATAGTACAGTAATATACTGTCATACAATAATAATCTTCTATGTTTGAAAAATGTGTAAAAATAAGAACAAAATAAGAACATTTTAAGGGTGAGATCAGAAAAAAATAAGAACACTGAGCCTGGGCAAAATGTTGCTGGTTCTTAAAATAAACAAAAAGTGTATTGGTTATCAAACTAAGCGTTTTCCCAGAAAGCACACAGACATTAAATAACTGGCCAAACCTCCATAGTGAATTACTGGGTTGTAGTTGGAGGGACCCCTTCAAATAAATCTGCCAAAGAATATGTTTGTGGGATTTTGGTCTATTTGGTTTTTGAAAATTACAGAAAAAGATACTGTATTGTCAAGGTGGTTAGTACAGTAGTAAGGGTCCAATGGCCGCTCCTGGACTCATTTGGACTGGGACGTAGCCCAGAAAGCACATGTGTTACGCCACTATTAAGGCTCTGTGGTAAAGTGGTAGGTAGTAGTAGGAGTCCAAAGCTCACAAGTATTACATAACTGGGTCCTGTTTATTTTAATATGGTATGCCTAAATTGGACTTTACGGGACAATATGAAAGACTACACCACTTTCAATATATGTGTATTGGAAAACCTTATTCGGCATTGGAAAAGCTTTCCAACGATACCAAGCACGATAGATTTTGGCGAGTTTGATTTTTTGACCCCTTGACCTTTTGGGTCATGTGACTTTATTCATTCCTCTATATCTTTGAAAGTTTGTATTATTAGGTATAGGTATAATGGAATAAAATGATCAGTGTATAATTCCCTTTCCATTGACACCAAACATACCCATGTTTTATGTGGTGTGTCAGCCATCTTTAAATTCAAAATGGCGGCTGATGACGTGGATTAAAAAAATGGCACTTTTTTTAATTCAGCACACCAAAAATGACAAAGTTAAGCAATAAAATCAATTTTGGCACAAAAGTCTAGCTGGATAACATAGCAAACTGTACTAATCACTACAGTAATGGACAAAACAAGACAAAATTGAGCTAAAAAGTAAAGGACAAAATAAGACAATATTGAGCTAAAAAGTAAAGGACTAAACAAGACATTATTGAGCTAAAAAGTAAAAGGACAAAACAAAAAAAGATTGAGCTAAAATGTAAAGAACAAAACAAGAAAGATTAAACTAAAATTAAAGGACAAAACAAGAAAAATTGAGCAAAAAAGTAAAGGACGAAACAAGCATAGATTGAGCTAAAAAGCAAAGGACAAATCAAGAAAAGACTGATCTAAAAAGTAAAGGACAAAACACAACAAGATTGATGTAAACAGTAAAGGACAAAATAAAATAAGACAAGACTGAGCTAAAAGGTAAAGGACTAAACAAGAAAAGATTGAACTAAAACGTTAAAGGACAAAACAAGAAAAGATTGAGCTAAAAAATAAAGGAAAAAACAAGAAAAGAATGAGCCAAAAAGTAAAGGACAAAATAAGACAATATTGAGCTAAAAAATAAAGGAAAAAACAAGAAAAGAATGAGCCAAAAAGTAAAGGACAAAATAAGACAATATTGAGCTAAAAGGTAAAGGAAAAAATAAGACAATATTGAGCTAAAATGTAAAGGAGCAAATAAGACAAGACTGAGCTAAAAAGTGGGGACAACTTTTACACTTTCTTACATTCTTACTATTGTATGAAAGTTATCAGGCTTTTCGAAGTGCATCCTATATTGATATTTTGACAATGCATATACATGCAACAAACAGCAATGAATAATTTAAATGCCAATTAAAGCTAATATTCCAAATGTAAACAATAATAAAACCATACTGTAATTCTCATTGCTATACTGGGAATCTCATCGGGACTTACAAAGTCCATCATTTACTAAATAAAATTTAGACAATATCTGTCTTTCACCAATCAACTATGACTTTAACATAGTAATGAATAATTAAAATGTTGAATTAAAGCTAATAATATTCAAAATACAAATAATATTGTAACCAGCTGTTTATTTACCATTTGGTAGTCTGTGTAGTCTGTTAATTATTGTGTTAAGGACAATAAACTAAAGGTAAAAAAATGTTTAGTTTTGTCAGGTGAAAATGCCACTTGACCTCTATCAAGGTCATGTGATTAATCCCCAGTAAAATGACTAAATATTTAAACCTGAAAAAGAAAGCTAATTCTATCCCTAAATTCTAGATGAAAGACTTGGATAAAAGAGAAGCTATAAACACAATGGCTTAAAAGCATACTCATGCTTTGCCTTATAAAATGATGAATGAGGAAAACGGAAAAGGGATTAGTGAATAAATCTAGCTTATAAAATTTGGCATATTATTATTATTACATGGTGTTTAAAATTGTATACTGACTTGTTACCTAGCAACAACCATTAATAAATAATTTGAATCTTACCTTTCCTACCAATGCAGGAATATTTAGCGCATTTGTGGCAAAGCCCATGCCAAATGTGATGGCAGATTCCACTCCAAGAAATTCGGCCGTCAGCTCCTCAAGTTGATTATGTTTGTCATAATTTCCTAATAAGACAAGATAAATGAAGACAACAATTAATAATTAAAATGAAAAAGGAAGAATGGCATGTGTTTTTACCTTCTTACATTTGTAATTTTGATCAATATTCTCAACAAGATTTGGGCTTATGGCTTTCTCTTGGACCTGGATCAAATATTTTTCTGGCTCTGTTTTGTTAAGGATACAAATTACTCATACAAGATACAAGATTCTTTTATTGTCACTAGTACACAAAATACAAGTAAAATATGTCTTCCCGATGCAAAAATTAACATAGGAGAAGTTAGACAAAAAATAAAGTAAAGACATATTACTGTACGACCTCTATTAACAATAATATTACTAATAACGATAGTAGTTATCATTATCAATAAAGGTAACAATAACAATAATAATGACAACATTGAGTTTTTCGTTTAACACCAAAAAGATGACTCAGAAAAATGTAATGACATATTTTTTAATGGAGATCCCTTCTAGTGGTGTGAACTAATCTTATGCTCTTTTTTGAAGACTTGTGTTCTTCACAAGGGCACTATTGCACATAAGGACAACACTTTAAATATCAAATCTAAATTAGTTATTTATCATTGTTATTAATCAGGTTGTTGTTTTTGTCAAAGACAGCTGGGTACCTCTCACAATGCAAACTTATCAGCGACCAGATTCATACTACTTTCCCATATGATACATTACCAGCCACAATACATATTAAGGTTACAGTTACGATCATGCATTTTACGTACCATAAAAAGAGGGGGGAATTTATCGATAGTTGCTGGTTGTACTTTATGTGTATTATTCAAGTACATTCCACTTTGCTCATACTTAAGACAACATTGACAGTAATAAATTAAAATGTTAATAATAACATATGGCAACTAAATAAGCTACAAGACAATTAATGTACTCAGTTTTACATACAAAAATACTGGAGAATAAGAAGTTCTATTAAATTTATTTATGAGTGTCCACCACCATGATTACAGCAACAAAAACAACCATTACATTAAGAAGATGAAAACAACGATAAAAACAAAAACAATTAATTACTAAAACATAAAAAATAATATAACAATCATACCAAAACAACAAACATACAAAAAGAAAAAGAAAAAAAACAATACCTAGTTCTTGGCGAACACTGCAGATTCCGACACCATAATCCTGGAGAGTTTCCCTCACCCTATCGTTGCAATATCCTTCCGTTTCTGAAAAGCCTAAATAATTGTAAGATCCAAAATTGATAGCTGATGTAGATTTGTCTGTATACCTGCAAAATAAATAATATTGAGACATGATTTTATTATGAATAAAAGTCAACTTACAACCATGCTAGAGATACAACAGAAGTGTGGTAAGAAGTAGGATGTTCTATTGTACAACTACTGCTTCTTTAATGAGCCAGTAATGGCTCAGTAGTTAAGATGCCTGCCTTCTAATCCCAGAGTCCTTGGTTCAATTCCTATGTGAGCAAAGGATTTTCTCGCATGACTAAAACACACCTCCACTCCCTAAGCCTCGTTATGAGACTCAGTCTAAATTTAATAATCTTTGCATGAAAGAAATCAAAATAAAAGCATCCATAATTTTGATCCTCAAATATGCAAGGAATGCAAGGAATCCCTACAAAAACCAATTATTCACTAAAGCCAAAAATAAAATTATACAACAGATATTAAATAAACATATTTATTATGCACAGAGGGAGGTGGGGCATGCAAGTCCTAGGGGCCTTAAATTCCCAGGGTCTTTAGGATTTAATACTACTTTAAGCGATTTTGTGCAGAGACTGGATATGGGGTTCTATTGTTGAGGAATTGCACCAAGAATGTCAAGCACCAACAGAGATTTATAATTGTGTCCATTGTGCGGAATGTAAACTCGGTCAAGCTTATAAAATAACACAAAACATGTTCATTCCATAACAAACCTGTTTTGTGCAGATCTATGCCGTAGTGATCAGATACATGGTCATGGTCATTCCAGTGTTCTAACAACTGGAACACTTTTTCCTGACAAATTTATCCTTTTAAAGTCAGTTGAGTGCACAGGGCTTGGCATGCCTTCAGGTGGGGTTTAATAAATTAAAAAGAACAAGACAGACAGTTGCAGCATACACCAAGAGTAAAATGATGTTCAGTTATTGAAAAAAGTGTGTCTAGCCTACTCAGGCCTGATCAGTGTTTTTTTAAAACTAAAACAACTTTTACCAGTAAATTTTATGGCTAAAATGGTAGGGAGAACACTATATTCAGTGCAAATGTTATAGTGCTCTGCTCTAATACTCAGATTTTAATGAGTTTAGGAATCCTACAAAGTGAGGATATATGATATCAACACAGCAGGTTAAAAAAACACTGGAAAACAATTCGATTTTGTAATGTTTCAAGCACTCAAATGCATTTGTTTTTTAAATTTGCATTTTTTTCCCAATTAGTATAAATAGATGGGAGATTTATAAAACTACTATTTTTACTATCAACATCATCATCATTATCATTATTACAGAGATACATTATGTAGATTTCTACATTTCAGTATTTAAGAATGGTAGCTGATAGCCACCGAAAGTGTCATACGCAAGTTTCAATTTTATAGTCTAAATATTGAAGAGCTCATAATTTTTTTAAAACACTTACGTGAAAGTCCAATTATCATCAGTTGAGTAACGGTGCATAATTCTTATCTCGGCTCCTGCGCTGCTGCACAATGGCACATTGAAGTTATCTCTTATTCTACGGTAAACATTGCGTGTGAAAAAACTATCAAAATCCTGATATAACGGGACAAAATCCTGCAATATAATCAATACAAATGTTTTGTTCAAGTCAAATCGTGCATGGTTCAGATTAACTGATTGATAATACTCTGTAATTACAAATGTTGATATATCAGGTTGACTTAATTCTGCTCTGATCTATGAGATTACTGTCATTATAATGAACTAGTCACTCTCATGCTTTAGAAACAAAATCAATTCTGCCTATACTGATTATGCACCATCTTATTTATAGTATTTCTTCACCATCATGCATGAAATTAATCTCCAACTTCATATTTGTTGTTCTTTTTGATGAACCAATAAAAAGTAAACTTTACAAATGTGTTGGATCTTATATTTGTAATAGTTCTGTTTTGGACACATATTAAAATCAGAATGAAAATATGAAGTGGAGTGAAGCAAAAAATGTGACAACAAAAGGTTAATTGTTACTGACACCACAAACTGTGCGCTTTACAATTGTAGAATCATACATCTTTGTGATACAAACAATGTTTGAACATGAGTTGTAATAATAAAAAAGCATTCAACAGCTAGGTTTATACAGTACATGAATGAAGGCTAGCATCTAAAATCAATTCTAAACTTGGGGGCTGGGCTTAAACTTGAGCATGGGCTTGATGTGGAATTGCTTTTTGGTCTTCAATTTTCTCATTTGTAAAGTACATATAAACATGAATAGTACATCCTTTATCAGTTTGTAAAGTTATTACTAATACTAATTGTTTATTATTAGATTACTTATACTTATATCTCTAAAGACTAGCATAAGACTACTAATACTATTTTAGACAGCAAATGTTTCTCAAAAAGAGTTTGGTGATTAGAAGACTCTTGAGTTTGGTATTCATAACATAATATTAGGATAATTATTCCAACTTTGACAAGGATGATAATGACACTTGAATAATTTACATTTTATGTTTCTTAAATCACCAGGTTAATATTCATCTCACCATCATACTAATAGGAAATTTTTATAAAATAGAATGAAGAAAAAAATGGAGGTATAACCATTAGAAAAATTAAACAAATGTTAAGCATAAGCATTAGGATAATTAAATACATGATGAATATTTAATGTAACTAAGTGCTTAGCATTATTGCAAATCATCAATACCATAAGCCTGGTTCTCACGAGAGCCCTAGTATCCGGATCGGGAGCTAACCATTAGCACTAAATGTTAGCACCTGCGTGAGAACGACCGATCGTTTAGCCCTAACCATTAGCGGTATCCGGATACCGCTGACGGTTAGCAAGCGCTATCGGTTAGCATGTTGAGCGTGTTTCTATCATCAACCAATCACACGTACGCGTTTACAATTTCTAGTTTCTTATTGGCCAGTTATTCGATCATCATATTCTTGGTATCCGGATCGGGATCTTTTCGAATGGACGCACGGCAGCTAACGGTTAGCAGGATCCGTATGAGAACATAGCCAATATGATTCTACAGCAGAAATTTACTACTCTGCTAATGACATCAAGGTTTGGTCACTGTGGATGATGAAGGCATATAGTTTGCTTTTAATCTGTACAATGTTGTTATCTTCCTTGGTCTCTGTAAGAAGTTGCCAGATTCCTCATTGTACATAGTATCATTCCCCTGAATGTATCCCATGGTTCCTTAAGTTGGTTAAGCAAGTGGTACTGGGATGGAACTGAAAATGTAGCTGGTTCAATTCCCACAAACAATATGTGTATTGATAAAAAAGAAATTCTGTATTTATTTATATAGTGTATAGATTGTTTTATCGGGATTATTTTGAAACAGCACCGCCAACGCCTCACAACTCACTGGGGGACTTTTGGGGGCCTAGCCTGAGCAGCTGGCTAGTTTCAAATGGAGTACTGCACATTTGCCAGGCTATTTCATGAAAATGGTCTATAAAGTTACACAACAGTACCTTATATATGCACGGGTACTAACCGTTCAACAAGACCTTATTAAAACTAAATATACTCTTCACACTAAGCATTATTGGTTTTTTATTTGTGTTCAACCACCATTTGTTCACCTGTTATTCCGTCACCTTGCAGTTGCTTTTACCTCTAAGTGGGGTTTCCGAGTCAGCTCTGATGGCACTGGTATCCAGCTGAATACTATCTAAAATCACACTATCTTTATAAGAATTAATTACTGAAAAATAAACAGATTAAACTCACCCTTAATTCTGGTGATTCTTGTGCACCATGTATGTTCTCAATGCAATTCCTTCTCATAAAATCTCTTAAATAACCGAATAATGTAAGAATAAAATAACATAAGTAGGTAGCGACAGCGTTGATCAAGCTAACCGGTTCAAATGATTCGTAGAAATCTTTTTTGTAAACATCCTGAGGAAATAAAATACCAAAAACTTAAAAACAAAAGAAAAATATTTCGTTCATGGTTGGCCTAAAACCGTAACAGCGCCTAAAATGTCTAGCTATGTACCGGCTTTAAAGCGATGGCTGGACCTTAGTCTGTTTTTAGTTATTGTCCAATATACCGTAAGGTAATGAATACGATGTTTGATTCAAGCAACCACTAGTTGTACAGTAGTAGAGAATAGGCTAGGCCTTGATCTGGTCGTGGCTTGACAGCTCAGCGCAAGAGATCTGATGTTGCGTGCATACATCGTCGTTGCACTGACGTCGTTGATGTAAAAGTCAGAATTTCTTACGATTCATACGTTCCTTACAATTCTTACGACGCTTACGCAAAGTTGAAATAATGCCAACATCAATGACTTTTGCATTGATCGTGTTGGGCCACAGATAAACAAGCAATTTTCAGTTGCTTACGAAAGTTGAACTTATGACATTGAACACAACCCAGAGTCCAAAACGAGCACTTGCGACTGTTACATTGTGTTTAATTTTACTTGCGGTACGACGACATAAAAACATAATTTGTAGTTCTTATGACTCCCTTCTTTCCCATAAATCCCGTCCTTGGTACCCAAGATCTTCACGTGAATATATATACCTTTACTTCTTTATGAGCTGATACTAAAATGTGTTAGCAAAACGTTTAGCATTAATACCATGGATCATTGCAAAGAAGTTACATGAAATACAAATAGGCCTGTCTGATCATTATGGCTCACCGGACATTGTGACGTCATCATATTGACATCTGAATTAAAAAAACTGAATTTTTATATGATAAATATTATAAAAGATAAGAAGACACTCACCAACAGACATTTGTCAGTGAGAGTTGATACATATATCTCATATCAGGAGTCAACACTTCGTGACGTTATCATGCGCACGTGCATCATGATGTGCGCGTACACATGAGGAAATCTTTGAACATGCTCCTAATATTTTTTTTTTTTAACTGAATTAGCGTATACTGTAGCCCATTTTCAGCATTTAAAAATTGTTCAATCTACAGCGCGCACACTTCCTGAGGGTCAAAGTGCGGCGGATCACCTAACTCGTCTGCAATGACGAGTTCAAATCTAATGTTTCAATTATAAATTTTACAGTTAGAAATATTTCATTTACTTGTATTTGCTGGTATTGTACTATTCTTACAGTACAATATTAAATTCTGTGCATGCTATCTGTTGGGCTAAATTTAGCTAGCATACTGCAGGTTTCAGCCTCTAAGCGAGACTGGGTAGTGTGTAGGGCCCTGGTCCAAGCTCTGATTGTCGCTGTTTTTTGGGTCAGTCTTTTTACGTAATTGTACGTAGAGTATAAGTAACCAATTTTGCAATCTAAATTTTCTTCCAAAGTATTGACTAATACTCCGGAAAATACATGCAGAAGTCTAGGCCTAGCGTTTCTCGAAAAATCTCAATGTTTGGGGTCAGTATCTTTAGGACAATTAGCAAACCATTATGGTATATAAATTTCCAATGTATTTGGTATATAGTAGTTGACTTAGCATTCCAACCAAAATTATTCAACATCAAATATGTACTGGTTATTTAAAGTGCACATGAGCCAAATTATGTACACTGGGCCTACTGAATTATATTCCTTATACAAGCAGACTTGTTCCACCACCAGAATCATAAACAAGTGTGCCATTCGAACCAGCGCCCATATTCTATTTCTATGTTCCATTGCTCCTTCCTTAACCACTCAGCCATTCGACTTGCCATAAAAAATGAAGGTGGTGGAACAAATTATAGTCAGTCTTCAAGTGACTATCAGTTGTGTGTGTGAAGCAATGTGTTTTTGGAGAAAATCAACTTAGCCATGACTTACTTAGTAACCAGAGTGTATACATTACATGTATTTAGTAACCAACAAAAGATGGAATCAATGGTTTAACCACTGTGAAGCATAACTCCACAAAAAATTTTAATTAATTACTGGTAATTAATATAGATTTAGAGTAATGCAAGATTATCTTTACGGCTAATTGATTTTGATAGGCTTAATGTTCATGAATTTTTCATGGTTGTTCTTTC